GCGGTGTCCGCTTTGCTGTTTTCATTTCCAGCAGGTAATGTGCAATTGGATGATGTATCCAGGCAGGAAAAGTTCATGCCCATCAGAAGAACCCCCACTTCCAATACTGGAAGTTAAAGCGAGCTATTAAGTACATCGCCTGGTAGCCTCATTGGTGACCACCTGGGACCACTGGGTGAGTGAAAGTGGACCAGGGACCGCGCAACAAGGAGATTCGCAGAGTCCGGATGTGTTCCATTGGCAAAGTCCCTGAGGCCACGGATGAGAGAGAGAAAGGGATGGATGGTCTGAAGTGCAGCGAGTCGTGTGGCCTCCTGAACCTACAAGTGGTACTCATGGCCTAGCTTTGGGGAACTAGGAGAGGAAATAGCCAGAACCTGGCCAAATGAAGAGAGGGGGCTATTTGATTGACACCATACTAAAATCAAAGTCAATGCTGACTCATAGGGACCCCCTGTGCATTTCAAGACTGTAACTGTTGACAGGAGTCGAAAGCCCCGTCTTTCTCCCGAGGAGCTGCTGGTGGTTTCCAACTGCAGGCCGTGCAGATCACAGCCAAGCTCACAAACACTAGGCTACCATGAGCTTGTGTAAACTGCTGCAATTTGATGGCTTGCTCTGAGTTGGGCTTTCCTTATGGATGCAGATGCTCAAAGTTCAGACCAGGGAACATGCCTGTCTCCTCAGAGTACTGGTTTGATAACACACACACACAAACCACCACACAACCCCACTACCATCGAGTCATTGCTGATTCCTAGTGACTCATAGGGTTTCTGAGGCTGTAAATCTTCATAGGAGGAGACAGCTTCAACTTTATCCTGTGGAGCGGCAGGTGGGTTTGAACCACTGGCTTCGCAGTTTGCAGTCAAATGCTCACCCAACAGGACCATCAGGGAGGGCTCTTTGATGGATTTGATGGAGATGGGAAATTTAGAAGTTGGCAGCCTGACATGGGCAGAGATAATGGCACAAAGTGGCTGGCTTACACATGGCCATGAGTGTGTTTACATTCAAAATGAGGGGACAAGGAAGGATCCCCACTGACTGGATTCTTCTTTTCCTGGTATGTCTAGGGAAGAGAGGGTAGGGGAAGATGCTGATAGGATTACATGATTTGGTTGTATCAGTTATTAAAAGGAAAATTACGATGGTAACAACTGTAATTGTAGAAGCAATATGTGTGAAAGAAGAAGGCACCACGGAACCAAGGACAGTGGCCAAGCCTAAATCCCTTTAAAGTTTTGCTAATCTCTACCTAGGCTATTCCATAGTATACTTTTGCTATGCGACAAACCTCGTGAGGCTGAGAGACAGGGAATGGTCTGTGTTAAATTTTCTCAGACACCAAAAAGAGTAATACTGACACGACTTTGGGAGAGTCTGGCAGATCATATGGGCACCTTCAGGAGACCTGAATGATGTGACCTGAGTAATTTCACCCTGAGGATCTTGTTAATGTCTGTTTTTGTCTAGTAAAATAATTGGAAGGGGGAACCTATCTCCCAAGTATGGAAGAGCCATGTCTAGAAAAGCCAGGGAGTGACCTGCCGTGTGATGGCCTTTCTAGCCCCGGCCTGGTAAGTCCCACCAAATGATTGGGTAGGACTATACCAATAAGGTCCTTGTGGCCCACCAAGGGACCTGGACATCTTGCTAATCTAAGCATATAAAGTGCATGGCACCCTTGTGTGGGCTGGGGTGGGACGATGAAAATAAGGTATGTGGATTTTATGCAAATGAGATATGTGGCACCCTAACGAGGAGTTGCTATGAGTCCATGTAAAGGTGAAACTGAGGTACAAGGAGACAGACAGACATAACTGACAGGACAAAGGAGAGCAGAAACAGAAATAGCTTTATTAGGGGGAGCTCCCAGACAAGGTGCCGTGACCTAGGCCAACAGGTCAGGGGAGTCATGCTCAGCAGTTGGGGTGAGGGTTTTTAAAGGGGACGTGAGGAATGTATGGCCATTATGCCAATTAGCATATGGGGTCTGGAAACTCCGAGAATTGCTGGTCGACTCCTTGCTGCTTTCTTCAAACCCGGAATGTCTGGTTTCACTGGTTATCTTATCTGGCATCTGCTGCTGACCTCTGGGGACATGCAGGGCCCTGACCTGCTTCAACGTAGTCCAAACATTCCAACTTCTTTAGTGATAAAGGGGCGGTGAATCTGATCTGACTACTTCCTGCTGATATGGGGTGATGGGAGTGGTGGTGGGGTGGGGGGTGGGAGGGCTATGGGCTGGAATGGTTTGGACCAGCATTGGCTGTAAGGATGTAGCAAGAGTTGGTTAGCAGTTAGATTGGATAGACTTTCATTCGTTCTTGAAGGAACTTAAAAGACAAGAGACTAAAAGTAGCAGCAAGCAAATTATTACCAGGGGTATGACCCAGGACATAACGGGGTTTTGGAACCAGGGCGTAGTTGCTGCGTTGCCCCAGCGGTGACTTTTGATTTCTTTGGCCACGGTTTTTAACACCTTAACATTTTGTTCAACCACTCCCAACTCATTAATATAGTAACGGCACTTTTCTCTTAGAAACATGCATGTACCTTCTTTATCAGCTGTTAACAGACAGATCCAACGCACTACAGTTCTGAAGGGTTACCTGTGCCAGGGATGTAAGCTGTTGCTGTAAGGAGGTGAGAGACTCTGAGGTGCAGTCTAACACTTGTCTGTTAAAATTCTGTGTCTGGAGCTGTGCTCTAAGGCTTTACTAGAAATTTCTGCCACTGCCAGGGAGGAGGCAAAACTAAGGTTTACCAGGACAGGTAGGAATACAGGTATGCTTTGCCTTACTAGCCCCGATTTATTATCACGATAATGGCACTCTTGAGCTTGTCCTTGCAGGGAGGCTAGAGAGACCATGGATTAGGAATGCTGTTCTTCTCGACCTTTGGGTGGGGAGTAACGATGCTTGTCCAGCCTGTCCAGCCGAAGTCAGTGGTTGGAGGTCTTTTATGACCCGGCATTTATTTAGAGTTAAACTCTGAGTGGTGGGAGTGTGTCACAGGCCTGAATAGATAACCTCTGAATGAGATAATAGTGCCTTGGAGGGAGAGAGAAGTTGAGGCGTTGGGCTGCGTTTGCCTTAGAACTATCTTAGGGGAGGCTGCAGGTCAAGGCAAACGAATGCTGACACGCTGGGTTAAGGGGGTGGTGAAAAAGGCATAGTGGAGGGGGGATATGGGACAAAAGAGTTACAGGAGTCGGGAACTACTGGATGTATGGGGATAACAGCTTTGTTAATGAGGCACAGGGTCCTAGACCAAGCGATAAGTGCCATTTGGGGTTTTTGGGTTTTTTTTTTTTACGGGAAGCAATAAGGCCTGTAGGGCTAGTTTTTCAGGTCGGGTGAAAGAAGGGGAAGGAGCAGAGGTGCTGTGAGATCAGAAGTAAGGTGTAAGGAGGCCTTTAACTTATTTAAAATGTTTCTTCCTAACAGAAGGACAAGGCACAAAGGGATTATAAGGAAGGAATGAGTAAAGGGCTAGTAGTGCACCTGGGGAAAGTAGGCTTCCCATCAATATCCATGACCGAGATTGAGGAAGGACTACTTAGCCCTGAAAATGAGAGCAGGTAAGGAAAGGTAGCTTCTGTGTAAAAGGAAATGTATTCACCCAATACCTTGAGCAATACCCTAGGCTCAGTGAAGGTGATGGTGGGTCCAGTTTGGGTCTCCTCAGTCGTCAACCAATTCCAGTAGGGCCAATGGCGGGTCAGGAATTTGAAGGACAGTCCCCCGACCCCCCCAGTGGAGATGCAAAGGGCCTGTCACCTTTTCTAAGGACAATCGGACTTCCAGTGTCCGCTTTGACCACGCGCTGGGCAGGGTTCGGTTGGAGCTCTAGGCCTGGGGCTCTCCTGTGATCAGTGCCTTTCTTCTCCACATTTGAAGCAGACGCCAGGTGGTGGTCGTTGTTTCCATACACCCCTGCCCTGTGCTGCCCCTCTGGGGCCTCAGGGGATCGCCAGCCACAGGGCTGCTACTAAGGCTTGGGTTTGAAAATTTACCTTCTGCCAGAACCAGGCATCAAGGACTGACTCTGCCTGCTTCTCATGGTTGTTAAAAACCTTGAATGCCATATTCACTAAATCTCCGGCCGGGGTCTGAGGGCTTTCTTCCGCTATTTTAAGCTTTTCAATGTAAAGCATCAGTCAAGCAACTTAAAAAGGTGGCTGGAGTTTTGTCAGGTTTTGAGTGATCTCCCTAAGTTTATTAAAATTGACTCCTATATGGGAAATGGCCTAAAGCCCAGCCAGGACACACTGAAGCATTTTAGCGTGGCGGGCACAACTATCCCTACCAGCTTGGTTGTTAATTTGATAACGCTAACCAGGTTTTTCTGTCGGGGAACTGCTTAGATCAGGGTGGGTTAAGTGGACCTGGTCGAGTGCTGCTGAACAACGAGAAAAAGGCGTTCCTTCTTATCTGCAGTCAGGGTAGCGGAAAGGATGACAAAAATATCGTGCCAGGACAAATCATAAGCTGGAGTTAAATATGGAAACTCCTTAATATAGGTGGTGTGATCATTACACAGGAACCTAAATGCTTTTCAATCTGAGATAACTCAGTGAGAGAGAAGGGAACATGAACCGGACCACTCTCTCAGCCCGGGCACTTTTGGAGTGGACAAAGAAGACGGGGGCTCTGCGATCTTGTGTGCTTGCTCACTGGCAAGGCGAACGCAGACTCAGGTTCCTCCAGCAAGGTGAGTAGATCTGAAGAAAAGGGCATGGGGCGGGGAGGGGGCGGTCTGGGTGGCCAGAATAGGGAGAGGGGTGAGTAGGAGGGGAGACAGGCAGGGATTCAGGCAGGTTTGAAAAGGTAGACACCAGAGCCGGGTGCAGAAGCAGGAGGAGAGGAGGAATTTTCTTCAGTCAAGAGGACTTGGGAAGGGGAGCAGGAAATACAGAGAGAGGTTGGGAGCTCCGAGGAAAGAAGGCCTGGACCATGTGTACCTCGGACTATTTGTGAGCTCACTGGCGGAAATTGTCGAGATCTCGGAGGAGATTGACATCAAAAGGGCGGCAGGTGATTAAACTTGTTACTTCCTGGAGCTTTCTGACCCCTCCCTCCTGCCAGCCTCAGAGCATTGATGGGTTTGGGCTTCTGGAGAGCCCAGGATCTGCATGCTGCTTCCCTATCTGGGAGCAGTCTGTGGGAGGCTGCTGGTGTTGGCTCAGAGGAGGCTGAGCAGGGAGGGAGCCGGGAAGGGGAGAGTGAGAGAGAGAGAATCCAGGGAGTCTGAGGGTCGGGCTCCGGGGAAGGGACGGGTGTCGGAGGCACAGTTGCTTCAGCCTTTGGGAGTTGAGTGGGTATCGGAGGGAGGTGATTGTGAGGGGCACCCAGATGTGGAGGAGGCTTTACTGGGGGCGCAGACAAGGCGTCAGGGGGCCTGATTAAGAGAGTGTTTGGCCAAGAGAACTTGACAGGGTGACACGTAGTCGAGGGACAGGAGCGAAGAAAGAAAAAGACCTATCTGGGACCTCTGACCACTTGTGAGTTTGCTGACAAAAATTGTCAAGGTCAAGGAGGATGTTAAAATCTTAAGCGCCATTTTCTGGCTAGCGCGACTCATTGTCCAATTGGTATTGAGGCCAAACTTGGTTACAGAAAAAGACCAGGTGCTTAGGGCAGAGATCAGGAGCCAAACCAATTTCAGCAAGGGTGGCCAGTAGGCACCCGAAAGGTTTGTCCTTAGGGGGCTGGGGCAGAGAACTTCTCATGGTATCTCCAACTGAAGGGGGTTCGGACAGAGGAGAAGGGCGTCCCCTGGTTCCCGTTCCCACCTGTCAGTCAGAAAGCGGTCCAGTAACCCTGAGAAGTGTCCTGATCAGAGTTAGAGACCCAGGGGAGACTCTCCCTGGACTCTCCGGAACAGGAAGGTTCCCTGGTGCAGGCCCGTGGCTTTCGTCCACCAGACAGGGACCTTGGATTAGTGAGAGACACAACACAGGGAACTGAGGAGGGGGAGGGTGCCTGGCCTCATGGCTGGTAAATGGAGGTCAGTTAGAGGCCTTTGTTCAGAGTGGAGAAAAGAGGAAGTAGGAAAGTTTTAGAGAAAGCACCGCAGAGCCACAAACACAACACACACCAACAGTAGAAAAAGCTCAGACACACCCTCTGTCCCCTAGTCCAGTCAGAAGGGGCAGTGACTGCTAGACCCAGTGCCAGGAGTCCTGTTATCGGCAGGAATTGCAGGAGGTAAACACAGAGACAAAAAGCTGGAGGCCACATGAGAGAAGATAGATGCAGAGAAAAGGTGGGCATGAGAAACTGACCTTATCATCGCACCCCTTTCAGGGAAAGGCAGTTATTTCCAGCTCCTTTTAGTACTAGGGTAGCAGAACAAACCCCTGCAGCAGCACCAAAAAAAAACAGGGACCCTAAGTTGGCTAGTCCTCAGTGTCCAGAAAGACAAAAAAGACAGAATGAACATACACAGAGAGATAAAGACCAGAAACCACCCGTCCAGGCGGGCTTCCTGAGGTTCGAGAGGAGAGGAGGGGTGGGCTATGACCCAGCCGAAGCAGGGCTAGGATGGCACGGAGCCCATTTCCCTACCTCTCCTGGGTTTCGGGCACCAAATGTAAAGGTGAAACAGGTACAGGGAGACGGACAGACATAACTGACAGGACAAAGGAGAGCAGAAACAGAAATAGTTTATTCCCTGACCTAGGCCAACAGGTCAGGGAAGTCATACTCAGCAGTTGGGGGGTACGGGTTTTTAAAGGGGTGGTGAGGAATTTATGGCAATTACCATATGGAGTCTGGAAACTCCTAGAATTGCATGTCGACTCCTTGCTGCTTTCTTCAAACCTGGAACATCTGGTTTCACCAGTTATCTGGCGTTGTCTGCTGTTGACCTCTGGGGACATGCAGGGAAGCGCATGCAGGGCCCTGACCTGCTTCAGCTTAGTCCAAGCAGTCAGAACCTACTCAACAACACTTAACAACAACAAGGGGATTCATTGGGTTTGCCATCCCTCCCTCTAGGCTTAAAACGAGCCGTTCCAGAAGGGAAGGGGTGGACAGAAAGTCACTCTCTCCAAGAGGAAAAGATGGGAGTGGAGCATATCCTTTTGACCCAGGGTCCCTTTACTGAGAACCTCCTAGACTTAAGAGGCAGAGAACAATTTGTCATACTAGAAATGGTGCAAGGCAATCATAATTATGATAATAATCATAATCAGTGGCCACAGAACCAAGAGACTTGTATGAGACAGCTCAATGGACTTCCCGGTCCATGACACAAGATGATTACAGTGGCTATGCCAACCTATGGGGCAATGGAACAGAGAGTTAAAGCAAAAAACTTTCTGGCAGGGTAGGGTTCCTCTGGGCACTTGTTAATGGAGTTAGGCTTGCTGCCCCAAGAAGGGCTAAATGCCTGTGGACCAAGGCATACTAGAGGAGCAGGGTGTTGCTGGGCATTTACTGGAGGAGTTATAGAACTTTGTAACATTTGTCCAAGCAGGACAGAGAATGGCCAACTCACAATATCTCAAGGGCCCACACTCTGGGAGGCAAGGAGAAAGAGGTCTGCCTGTGGGCACAGCTGAGAAACTGTCCTGACCAAAGAACTGTATCCTGAACTATTTCTGATTCTGACTTGTAAAGTGTTAGTGCTCCAATAAGCCCCCATAATCATGAGTATGATCTGTGATTTCTACTCAGCGGTGCCAGTTACATAATGTACTGTCAACTTGAGAAGGGGTGGAGTCTAGCCTGACAATCAGGTCACGGCTTGATGACCTCATTTGGAGGCGCCATGGAGATAAATAGCTCACTGAAGGCCAGATACACTGACACTCTCTGCTTCGTCTTCCTGCTGACAAGATGCATGGAGTTAGAGTCCTGGAGCTGAAGGAGCCACGTGGAGACCCAAGCCAGTACTAAGATGCTTCCGCAAGACTTTCCATTCACTGGCCTATGATCTTTCTGCATTCAGTGTCATTGCATGGCTGCGTGAGTCTAAAGAGGAATTTATAGGGTAATATCAGACTTGTGAATTTGAGCTACACTGGGCTGGGGTGTTTTCTTAATGAACAATTGCTCTTTGATATAAAGTTCTCTCTTATACACATGAGTGTCTATGAATTTGTTTCTCTGGTCAACCCAGACTAACACAGTGGCACTGCAAGAAATGATCAGGGGGCCATGGTAGAGAGGGCTACAGAAGGGGCAGTTGAGGGTCAGAATTGGTCAACAGATTGGAAGGCAGCGGTATGTCTGTCCTGCAACTCATAGCAATCAGCCTTGGCCTGTTGATGTGGGTAATGATTCTCTTCCGCCTTGTGAAGTAAGCCCAGAAGGTTTGCCGCCACATCATCTGCATACAGCTTGAAGAGGCAGACTAACCGGACCTTAAAAACCTGGCTCGGGGAAACCAAGGTCACACTGAACTCCCTCCTTTGCTTCAATGTGAAGCCCTGGTGTAGGAGCTTTTCAGTGACTCTCTCCCCAACCCGTGCAGGGGCCTAGCGGTCAGCCAATCTTTTCTGGAGGCTCCAGCCCTTTGAGAAGGCGTGATCCCTCAGGACATGGTTAAGCATGTTCAGATCTTCATGCTCAACATGAAGAAATGGAAGAATGTCAAGGTAGGGGCACGGTAGGGGTCCAATGATGCCCCGGAGCAGAGAGAGAGAGAGAGATCTTGAAGGCTGACCAGTCAACCGCGGGCTCAGGTCAAAGGGACCTAGAAGAGGAGGTGGCCACAAGGAGGTGTCTCACTCATTCGCTTGTTCAGTCATTGATGAGATGAATTTATTGAGCACCTACTGTTTGCCCAGTTCTGTGGAGGTGATAGGGGTAAGGCAGTGAATGGAGCGGACATGGCCTCCTGCTCTCAGTCCCCAGGGTGTGGGCAGAAGGCAGCAGAGAGGAATCAAATAGCCACACAGCAAACACTGATGGTGAAGGAGCCCCAACGTAGCTCCCAGGAGCACCCCTGGGAGACTTTCCTTGGAGCGGTATCCTTGGGCCGGTCAGCACTGAGATCTTTGTCCTTCTGAGAGAAGGCCCATAGGGTGTGCCACTGGGGCATTCCTGGATGGAACCCTGATCCTACTGGTTCCTAGCTGGGCTTCCTTGGGCAAGTCACCTTGCCTCTCTAAGTTGTGGCCACTCACCCATAAACTGAGGGGCGTGGCCAGCCCCTCTTGTTGGTTCTTACGATGGTTAAATGAGGTCACCCAACATAAAAGGCTGAACTTGGCACCCAGCACATCATAAGTGATCAACAAGCAGATATCAGCTCTCTTTTTGTCATCTGGGACTTTGCAGCATGCCTCAGCCCCCCTGTCCTGGGCTAGATCCTGGGAGCAGGCCGGGAGGGCACCAGGGGCTTCCTAGGCAAAGAGGGAAGGAAGAGTGTTGTGGGCAGCGGGCACAGTATCTGCAAAGGTGGGAGTCTTTGAAGGTGCAGGGAAGAGGCTGCAATCTTACTGCAACCCCCAATGGGCCCCTTCCCAGTGTCTGTTGCAGACACCACATCACTGCCAGGACTCCTACACCTGCGGGGGATCTGAGCACAGGCTGGGCTGCAGCCTTGGTTCTCCACTTGGAAAAGAACTCAACTGCCATTGAGTGGATGCTAACTCATAGTGACCCTAGAGGGCAGGGGAGAACAGGCCCCTGTGGGTTTCCAAGGCAGTAACTGGTGATGGGAGTAGAAAGTCTTGTCTTTCTCCTGCAGAGCAACTGGTGGTTTCGAACGGCTGCTCTTCTGGTTGGCAGCTCAACACAGCACCCATTGTGCCACCAGGGCTCCTAAGTGGGTATGAAACCTTAGACCCGCTCCTTCCCCTCTCTGTGCTCAGTTTCCCCCTCAGTATTATACAAGGTGGACAATACTGTCTACCTGGAAAGGTGAGCAGAAGGATGAACTAAGGTGCTATTTGTAAAGAACGTAGGCCAGTGCCTAGCAAACTACTCAATGAATAAAGGACAGATGCACCACCAGTGGGAGGAGTCGCAGCAGAGCTACCCAGAAAATGGGCCCTGCACGAGGACCCTGTTCACTGACAGCCCCTGGTGGCCGCACACCTGAGTCCGAGCCCTTCCAGGACCTGACCTGTCACTGACCCAGCTCCCTGGGGGTTCCAGGACTTCCTGTAAACAGCACCCCGGTCTGAGGCATCCCCTTATCCCAGTCCCTTTCTCCCTCCTCACCTCTCACGGGGTTACACCTGCACCCCATTTGGTCGGAAGGATCGCCTCTCTTTTTACAGACGTCACCCCAATACATCTCTTGTAGGTCCACCTCCGTTTTCCCTTCTGCTTCCCAGGGGCCAAAAGGACACAGGGGTCAACCCAGCACTGATCCATCCAGAGGACGCCCACCCACACACCCACACACCAGGCCGTGAGCAAGTCAGCCCCGCGAGCCTTGGTGCTGAGAGCTGTGGAGTCATTTCAGCCACATCTTTCTCCTGCGCGCTCTTCCCTGCGGCTTGGAGGCGAGCCTGGAGGAAGAGGAGCCACGGGAGAGGCTGGAAGGCGTGAGTAAGCGGAGCTTCCTGAGAGTGCATGCCCCGGCAGGCAGCAGGGAGGGGATGCATTTGTGACCACTCTTCTCCTTGGAAGTCAGACAGAATCCCATTACCGGCTCCGGACAGCAGCTCAGAGGCGTCCCACCCCGTCCCCACTTGACAGAAGAGAAAGCTGGGACCTGGGGGTAGCGGAGAGGACAGAGACCGGCTAGAGTCCTAGGGCTCCTGACTCCTTGCCTGCACCTCAGAGCCTGCAAACCAATGGAGCCATTCTCTCTTACAGCCCAGCTGGGTGAGGCTCAGAGCAGCTCAGCCAGCCACCTGGGGCCACCCAGCACTGGGACTCACACCCAGACCCTGACAGGCCGGGCAGCGTGCAACCTAGAGGGTCCCAGAGCAGAGGGGACTAGGGCAGGGAGGGCCCAGCCTGGAGTTCTTGAAAGGGCAGCTCTCTGCACAGTGCTCAGGTGGCCTAGGGACGGTCATTTCCTATCCTCCCCCACACCCTCCAGTAACCGAGCCTTCTCCCACGAGGCCTCGGGAGGCTCCGAGAACAGCGAACGTGTGCCCGCGGCGATAGTCAACACGTACCCAGCACCTCCTGTGTGCCAGGCCAGGCCCCGCCCCCAGCATGTATGCTCGGGATCAAAGCCAACCTGGGACACGGACCCGGTTGTCTTTCTTACTCCAATCTTTATTGAGGATGAATTCACACACCGTGCAGTGTAATGTATCCAGTTTGAAGGGGACCCTCAGGTAATTTTCAATGGATTTACCTATATCAGATATTTCCTGTAAGTCGAATCCTACAATATCTGTCCTCTGGGGTCTGACTTATGGCCCTTACATCATGTGGTCAAGGTGCATGCATGAAATCAGAGCTCTCTTCCTACGTATCTCAGCACTCCCCTGGAGAGCACACCAAACCCAAACTCAATGCCACCGTTTCAACTCAGAGCAACCCTTATAGGACAGAGAGAACTGCGGGGTTCCGAGACGTTTAACTCTTAAAGAACGGCTGGTGGATTCGAACCCCAGACCTTGTGCTTAGCAGCTCGTAATGGTCCCATTTTATCGATGAGGAAATAGGGGCACAGAGAATCATTACAGAGCTGAGGCATGTCAGAGCAGGGGAGGGGAGGGAGGGACTTGAACGAAGAGCAGGCTGCCTCCAAAGCCCTTGATGGAAAGCCCAGGGCAGTCCAGCTACGGTGAAGGCATACGTCCGTCCTTCGCAGCAGCGTGCCACCGGGCACTGCTCAGTAAATGTTGATGCCATCATCATTATTGTCACTGGGGAAACTTCCCACGGTCTACGCGCGCTTCCCTCCTAATCAGAAGGCTGGATACCCTGCCTGGTGTCTCGTGAAGCCTCGGTATTTCTTCTAGATGGAGGTACCTAGCAGGGCCTCGAGAAATGTTTGCTGAATTGAGAGAGTTGGTGGGATTTTTGGAAAAGACAATGGGAAAGGAAGAAAGTGTCCCTACTCTCTTTTTTTATACCTGTTTATTTTTATTTTTGTGCAGTGATAAATAGCCTGGGAGAGATTTCTGGATTCCTCTTGCGCAACAATTCCATCATGGCTGTAGAAGAGTCTGTAGCAGTTACATAATCTCCTGTCAACTTTCGAAGGGGTGGAGTCTAGCCTGTCAATCAGGTCATAGCCTGATGACCTCATTTGGAGGCGTGAAGGAGATAAAAAGCTCACTGGAGGCCAGATACAAGCTCTGCTACTCTCTGCTTGGTCTTCCTGCTCACAAGCCAATTGGAGCTAGGCTAGAGCCCTGGAGCTGGAGAAGCCACATGGAGACCCCTGCTAGCACTGAGATGCTTCCACTGCCACTGTATCCACGAGACTTCCCACCCACTAGCCTGTGATCTTCCTGCATTTGGTGTCATTGCATATATTGCATGAGTCTGAAGAGGAATTTATAGACTGGTATCGGACATATGGGCTAATATCGGACTTAGGGACTTGATCTGGACTGGGCTGGGATGTTTTCTTAATGTACAATTAACTGTCCTTTGATATAAAGCTCTCTCTTACACACATGAGTGTCTATGAATTTGTTTCTCTAGTCAACCCGGACTAACACCGAGTCTATCAAGCAGAGCAGTTCATCACAATGTCCTCTCCTTCTGTGCTGCTTGGGCTTGTATTTCCGCTTCTGGGACTGCTGCCGCACACAGCCTTGGAAGTAAAGTGTTTCCTTACTTGACGTGACTTAGGAGAAATAAATTTCTAACAGTGGGACTTCTGAGACCTCTAAGCCTGTGTTAGAGGGGCCTTGGGAGACACCGGGCCCTTCTTGTTAGCCTCTGGGAAAAAAACACACCTAGCCCTGGAGACCACCCCTGCTTCAGGCCTCCTCCCCTGAAGGCATCTTGAGTTTTAACCTCTCCTAGGATTTTATCTTCAACCAGTGTGGGCTGTGGGGCCTTGGGTACTTGATTTCCTTTCTGTGGGCCTGCTGTCTGTCGATTAAGGGGTGGATTTTCTTTAGAGCCTGCCCAGCTAAGAGAGTCCAGTCCCTACTCTGTCCCCACATCACTGTGGGCCTTCAGAGTCTTCCTTGCTCCAAAGGAAGCTCTGGGGGCTCTGATCTGTCACCTCCTGTGCAGGAGACTGAGAGTGGAGCCATCAGACAGGGAGTGGTGAGTGAGCTCATCGGCTCCTTTCTGCCTTACTTACGCCATTAGCCTGGGCCCCCCAAGAGGACCGATGACCCAGTTCCCAGCACAAACTTGAGTGTGGCTATGCCAAAAACAAGTGAGTAACCAAACAGCGAGCACGGCAAAAAGCTCTCCTCCAACCAAGAGGCCCACCTTCCCAGGCTGCATCTCACCACCACAATCACTGGTCTCATCATTCACGCACTCATTCATTCATGATTGAGTGTGAATCCTCTGGGTCTGGCCCTGCCAATGTATCTGACTTCACCCCCTTCCACTGCTGGCTCTCCCTCCAGGAGGCCGAGCTCTGTCCTACCTGGGAACCTGTGGCCTTGCAGAACCTCGGTCCGGAGCACTCTTCCCTGAGCTCCATCTCATTACTCAAGTCTCAGCTAAGACGCCACCTCCCTCGGGAGACGTTGCTGACCACCCCCTCAGAAGGTCTGGTACCGCTCCAGCACCTTGCCCCATATGTTCCTCACAACTATTTAAAAGAATATTGTTTATTTCTGACTGTCCGTCCCCTCACCTTTGAATGTCAGCCCCAAGAGACCAAGGACCAGGGCTCCTGGATCACCATCGATCCCAGTCTCACAAGTGAATGACAGGCAGAGCTCACAGGCATTAAGCATATATCGTAGGCCAGTTATAGCAGAGGCCTGGCGGTACAGTAGGTTATGCATGGGACTGCTAACTGCAAGGTTAGCAGTTCAGAACCACCAGCTACTTCTCAGGAGAAAGATGAAATGTTCTATTCCCAGGAAGAATTACAGTCTTGAAAACCCACAGGGGCAGTTCTACCCTGTCCTATAGGATCACAGTGAGTCGAAATCCACTTGGGGGCAGTGAGCTTGGGTTCAGTTTGGGGTACCAGATATAAGACACAGCAACTCTTGTAACGCTCCCAACCAACCCCTGGGGTAGCAACAATGGTTATCCCCACTTTTACAGTGGAAGTGGGGGTGAGTAAGCAGGAGGCTGGGATCTCCTAGTGCAGGGGTGCTCAATACATCGATTGCGATCTACTAGTCAATCGCAAATGTAGTGTGGGTAGATCGAATGCCATTAAAAAAAATAGCCATAAGCCTATCCTCAATCCCGTCACTTAAATGATATGCAGCGCAGCCAATCAGATGCAAGCTTAGGTGTCAAATGCATGTGCAAACAACTGCGCTAAGTGCAGCAAAACTGACGAGCTAAGTTATTGCCAATTTTTAGACCTTGGTTTTTTTCTCTTAAAGCTAAGAAAGGGTATTAAAATGAGTGGGGGAGCTGGACCAAGTAAGAAGACAAAAATGTATCACTTTCATACGGAAAGGGAGATTTTGATACTACAGGCCAACATTCAGCTGAAGTCCAGAGCACATGAACAGTTCTGGAACTTACTCCAGAGGGAAAGTACCCAAACATGAGAAAATGTGCTACCTCCTTGACTGCATTATTCGGCTCTACTTATTTATGTGAAGCCGGCCTTTTCCCACATAAAGATCATTAAGTCTAAGTACCGTTCCACCATGACTGATGATCATTTGGAAGTGTGCTTGAGGCTGACTGTCAGCAGCTCCTGTCTGGACTATGCATGCCTGGCTCATTCCATTCAGTGCAAGTCATCAGAGTAAACTCAGGTCATGACAAAAAATGTACATAGCTAATTGTGTTGTGTTGTGTTGTGCAATATGGACTCATGCGGTTATACAAGGTACGTACACATACATTGTGCATATAATTATCAATCCATTTATGAATACATGTAATAAATAAATAAAAATAAATATGTTTTGCATTTTGTAGTCGGTAGATGATTTTGACTTGATCATTTTATAAGTAGCTCGCATGCTGACAAAGTGTGAGCGCCGCAGCCCCAGTGTGTATGCAATTCTGTCTGGAGTATGCTGAGCCACACATGGGACACGGGGTCCTTGTCCTTGGGGGTTAAAGAGCCAGCTGGCTAAGCCACAAGCTAGGAAGTCTGGGGCCACTTCCTGGAGGAAGTAAGGCCCAGCCCAGCCCTGAGGGTAACTAGGGTTTAGTGGAGGGAGGGTGCAGTTGAGTAACGTGTGTGGAAGCCAGGAAGCCAGCCTGAGAACAGAGTCAACCTGGAAGCAAAATCATGTGCTTGGAGGAGGGAATGGAGCAGTTAGCAAGGAGTCGCGGGGCGTGGTGGCGGCCACTCTGTGACTGAGGTCTTAAAGAGCTCAGAAGACAAAATGTCAAGCAAGACACCTCACAAGAGGGCCACAGATCCTCGAACCGTGCGGTGCCTGGGCAAGATAAAGGGCCCAACCTGAGTCCTGAGGTTGCTAGGCCACATCCTAAAGATCATGTTGTCCCCTGATCTGGTGCCCAGAGGCCGCTTGAAAATTGCTCTCTGAAAATTGCTGCTGACTCCCTGTGACCTCCATGGACCTTAGTCTCCGACGCTGGTCTTGGAAAACCAGTCACAACGGGACCTGCCTGCCCCATCAGCCTTGTACCCCATCAATAGAACACTAGGGGCCAATGAGAGATCAGCATTCCAAAAGTCAGATTCTGGGACTCTCCTGGACAACTCTGGCGTGCACTGGGCACCCCACACTTGCTGGCTCAGCCAGCACCAGGAGCTTAACCACGCAGCCTTTGAATCAGGGGCTGAGTTCTCTTGCTTCGCAATCCTGTGCAAATACCGGGCTGTGTACCCCACCACCACCACCACCTCCCACACATTGGGGCCCGATGTGGGAAGAAGGGGGGGGGGGCGCTGCTCAGATCCTTCCGGAGACAAAGAAGCTGACCTGCAAAGAGTTCCAGTGGGAGACCCGATCCCCCCTCCCTTTCCCCCTCTCCCTTCCCAGTCCACGTGTCTCTATTGTCTGCTCCCCGGCTTCAGGGGAAAGCACAGCTTCGGATGTGTCAAAACCACCACCCCCTGGCAGCAGGGAAATTAATTACTGGACGATTTTCACTTCCTCTTGCAGCGGCCGCCTGAGCTCGGCACCGGAACAGGACCGGCTGAGCAGGGCTGGGCATCTGCATGGGGGACATGCTCCCCGCCCCCCACCCCTCCTCCGGGCCCTTTCTGGAAAAAGAAAGTTGAACCCCAAACCCAATCGGAGCCCCATCTGGCGAGGGGGGACCTCCTCTAGTTAGAGCTGAGCGTCCACCAGCCACTTCAGAACTGGGGAGAGGGAGAGGCCGGGCACAAGAGCCAGGATGGAGCGCTGACTTCTCCCTTTGCACCCTCGTCTTCCGGCACCCATGTGCCTGACCCCCAACCCTCTCTCTCCTCTTCCCTCGCCTTTTCCCCCTATCCTGCACTTTTCTTTCCCTTTCTTTGCATCCCGGGGGGCGGGGGGCGGGGGGCTTCCTTTTTGTGTGGCGGTATCTCGCCTTCCTTCCCGTGGGTGTGCGAGTGTCGCTACTTCTCTTCTCTGGTCTTTCTCCTCCGTTTCTCTTACTGTGGCTTATCTTTTTTATTTTTTTGTCCTTATCTTGGTCTCTGCTGTGATTTCTACCTCTTTCAGCCCCTCTTTCTTCTCTTCCCTCCCCCCCTCCTCTTTCTCCGTCTTGTTATACCTCTGCGCCTTTCTTGCCCACACTTGCTCCCCTCCTTGCTGCCCGCCGCTCCCTGCGCCTCGCCTGCCCCCACCTCCGCCGGTTCAGGGGAACGTGTGCGGAGCGATTGTCCTGGGGGACATTTGATGGATTAGAGCGCTGAACAGTTCCATTGCTAGGGGACCACCTGATCTCCAGCCTGCGTCCCATATAAAGCCGGCAGCCGGAGTGCTGAGCACAGCTCCAGCGCCTGCCTGTCTGCGCGCTGCCGCTGCCGCTGTCGAGCACCAACCGGAGCCGGAGCCGGAGCCGAAGCCTCAGCTCGGGCCGCCGGCAGCACCGGGGCTGGCTCCGTGCGCCCGCCCGCCCGCTGGGAGCTGTCCAGTGCTGAAACCCCGCGCGGCCAGCCAATCGCGCCCGGCCGGCCGCCTCCCCCGCGGGGCCCCACGCAAGTGCCCCGCCGAGCCCCCAGCCAGCCAGCCGCACCATGCCGCGCTCCTTCCTGGTGAAGAAGATCAAAGGGGACAGCTTCCAGGGCAGCGGGGTGCCGGCCCCCACCTACCACCCCTTGGAGACCGCCTACGTGCTGCCTGGCGCCCGAGGGCCGCCCGGGGACAACGGTGAGTGGGGCCAGTCGGGAGAGAGGGGAGAGCTCGGGCCCTCCCCAACTTGGACCATGAGGAGGGGCGCGAGCAGCAGGGAACTCCGGGAGGTTTCCAGGCCCGGGCGCCTCCCGGCTTCCCGAGGCAGCGGGCGGGGCAGGGGCTAGGTCCCTACAAAGCCGCGCTTCGAAAGTTGTGGCCCTGGAATGGGCATGGGCAGAGAAGGTGCTGGAGAACAGAGATTGCCGGGCACCCATAACGGGTTAATGCCCACGGCACTATGGGGATCCCCTCACCCTGGTGGTGTCCAGGCAGGGAAGGCCACTCTGCCAAGATGGGGTTGGGGGGTGGGGGCGCAGCTGGGGGTGTCCTTACTGCCTTCAAACCTGCCCCATCTGGGGATGCCAGACAAGGGTCTCCAGCAACTGTTTGTCACCCTCAGCCACAAGCCTGCCAAGGGCCTAGCCTGTCCTGTGGTCTGAGAGAAAGATGTCTGGAAGGTGCCCCCCCATTTTGCTCTTCACGCCCCTCCAGAGCCCACCCCACTGCTCCCTCTAAGCAACCCTGCCTTCCCCCACCCCCCACACAAACACACTCATACTTCACGTCCTCTCAGCGCCAAGTTCCTGCAGGGACCAGGATTTGGGGGACAAGGAAAGGGCTTGATCTCTGGAGGGTTCAGAGCTGAAGCAGCTGACTGCTTTCGTGGACCCCTCCCCCACAGAGGGGATCACAAAAGGTTTCTACTCTGATGGCCCCCCACCAAGGCAGGTGTGTGGGAGGAGGCGTCCCTGTGGCAGTGAGAAACCTGGCATCATCGTGTGTGTGTGTGTGTGTGTGTGTGTGTGTGTGTGTGTGTGTGTAAGAGCTAAGGATGAAGAGAGCTGAGATGGCAAAGGCAGAGACCGGGAGGGTGGGAGCTTTTGCCTCGGGGATTTCCAAGCACTTCACCCACATTCCGTCACTCTGCCAAGCCAGGTAGAGAGAGGGCTCTGGACCGAGGATTCTTTGACCTCATCAAGGTCAAAGAAGTTAGGGAGTGATGGGGGTTACAGCCATATCCCCTCAGCCTCTGGCTGCTCTCTGACCCACCAGAGAACCCCCTTTTCTTCTGACCAAGTCCCCTACTCTGCTGTCCCCTTTTCTTGAGCCTCTTAGGGTTAATGACAGAAGCCATGGATGTGGCCAGGGTGGGCTGAGTGCTGGCAGGACAGAGGGTAGTCCTGGGGTCATGCCAGGGAGGGAGGGGTGTGCGTGTGTGTACTGGGGAGCACTGAAATATCAAACAAGTGTGGGCCCGTTGAGAGACTATCACAAAGCTCTGGGCTCCCACCCACCGAGTCCCCCTGGTCCTGTCCCCAGGCTAGCTAAGGAAACCCAGAGTGCTTGCCCAGCAGAGTCCAAACTGCAGGCTGTCCCTCAGGAGGGCAGCAGGAGAGCGAGCCCCTTGCCTTAGATTCGCACAAAAAGGCTTTGCGGGAAGCCCTGAGCAAACAGTGGGAAGTGGGTCAGGGCAAGAGCTCATGCTAGGCTGCTCCTGTGGAGGCTCCACCAAGTTCGACCCCCCAAGACTCACCCCTGTCTCTGGGGCTTTCCCCCAAAGGCTTCCCACCAAATCCCTGGCCTCCAGGGAATCCTGAGGCTGACCAGATGCCTGGCCTGGGACTCAAGAGACGTGAGCTCTAGATCTCTGACTTGCTGGGTGACCTTGGGCAAGTATCATCCCTTCTCTGATCCCCAGCTCTCCCAGCAGTGAAAGGAGTTGGCACGGCATGAACCAAGGCAAGCCTGACCATCTCAGTGTCTGTGAAGGTCCAGTGTGGGCTGGGGAGCATTGGGGGCCTCAGAGAAGGCCAGGAGGTCTTTGTCATGTTTGTGTGGCTTTCACTTGACATCGGATGCCTGACTGAGGGTGGCAGAGCTTCGGGGACCTGGTGTCTTTTTTGGCTTCGATCACTGCAGGCTGTCCTGTGGCAAGGACAGGCACTCTGGCCCGGCAGCCTTGGCAGTTAGTTGCCTGTGGTGGACAGTGTCCACGATGGACTCCCGGGTGACCCTACAGGCCTGGGTACAGCCGGGAACACAAAGGTCTACCAGGTCTTACATGTAGGGACCTCCTGCAACCCTGGGGTGTGGCCGGACTGGGCAGTGAGGGCTCCCCCATCCATCAATGAGTTGGGGGTGCCTGGGGTCCTCAGAGAGCTGGCCAGCTCCTGTTGTCTCCACTCTGCCGGAAATAACCTTGCTGCGCGTTTGAGGGAAGTGTGAAAAATTGCTGAGCCGACGTTTTTTCTCTCCCAGCGTGTGTAAGTGCTGGGTAAACAAGGAGAAAGTGGGGGGAGGGGGAGGCGTGTGGAGAGGGAGGGCAGGGAGGAGTAAGGGAGGGGAGTGGAGAGGGCCTGGGGCTGGAGATAGTTCCAGTTATTAGAAAGATCTTCTTACAAGCCATTTCTGCAGCTTCTGCGGCAGGCTCAGGCTGAGACTGGTGGGAGGGCAGCCTGGGAGGGGGAAACAGGGAAGCCTGTGAATATCAGGTTTGTGGGGTAGGGGGTATCTCCAGTTCCTAGAGGATCAACTAGGAACCATAAATTAAAGAGGTGTACCCCCCAGCTCAGGGAATACCTGGGAGTGCTGGAGAATGAGGGCTCCACTTACACACACACACACACACACACACACACACACACACACACACACACACACAGAGCAATGCTCTTCTTTGCCTCCTCCTCCCTTTTCCATCCCTCAGCCACCACAGGGCCGATCCAAGGGTGCAGCAGGTATGCCTGGGCTCCAGGGCGCCCTCAAACTCATGGAACCCCGACACAGGCATGGGGAAGCCCCCAAAGAAGGAGATCTCCAGCTCTCTCTGCAGAACGCCCCCCAACGGTATAATCCAATGGCATCATGCTTTGGGAAAAGGTGCTTCTCTCCTCCCCACCGGCTCCTGGGCTCCGGGCTGGTCCCTGCCTCCCTCCCTCCCTCCCTCCTCTCCCCTCCTCACTGGCCCAACCGTGCTCACTCGAAACTTTACCCTCCATCTCCACCACCTAACCAACTCTTCCCCCGGGGGTCCTGGGGACTCAGCCACCCCAGAAAAGGCTGCTGCTCACCCAGTTGCATGTCCGTCTCTGTGGGCCTCTGTCCGGGAGGGCCTCAGTGGCCCCGGGCTGCCCATCCCCCAGGCAGTAGCCAGGCCCTCTCTTCCCCTGCGTCCCCAGCCCGGCCTGCTCCCATACCCACTTCAGAGTGTTATCTGACCCGGTGATGAGGGATCAATGCCAATCCAATAACACAGTTGTCCGCCCTCCGCAGCTACATTAAGCCTCTCATGTAGGCGGAGGGAGCTCTCCTGCACTTACCTATAGGCTTTTCTAACTGACCACACTACGCCAGCGCCCGCCTCCTTTCTCGCACACTGAGGCGCCGGGCAGTCGCTCCAAGCCTGAGCGCATGGCTGTGTCCCCAGCTGCTGCATCTCTACCCCACGCTCAGAATGTCCTTCTGGGGAGCACGGGTGCCAAAGGACTGCCCCCTTGGCAGAGGGAGCCCAGTGAAGGCCACACAGCAGGCCCACCTGGTTCTCCACTTACAACCACCACCTCTCCCCCTGGCATCTTCATCTCAGTGCAGGCCAAGGTCCACTTGAAGCCATGTAAGATTCCCAGGTTCAAGGTCTCAGTCCTGTCTACAAGCCAGGTCCAACAGACATGTTCAGTCTCGTGTCTAGGACCAAAAGCAATGTGTAGGTCCAAGGTTAATTTCCCAAGAGCTTAAGTCAGGAGAACTCTAGGTCCAACTTCACATTTCAATGTCTAGTGGCAGGTGAAGGCTCAGGATCAAGGTCTAGACCCAAGGCCCAGGGCAACATTCTAGGTCCAGGGTCAAGACCTGGAGCCAATGTCTAGTCCAAGGTCATGTCCAAGTCCATCTTCAGGCTGGCTGTGCTCAAGTCTTAGACCCACCCTTAGTTTGATGGGCAGCCTAAGGCTAGCCTTCCCCAGCAACAACAACAGCAGCAGCAGCAGCACCAGCACCTCCACCACCACGACCACCCCACCCCACCCCCTCCACCTCGGCCTCTCGCTCAACACTGAGCAGCTGAACCGGATCTCTGTTTCAGTTCTGACCTTCTGAGGACCCAGAAGTTTGATTTTCCTAAGAATGAACGGGGCTTCCTTAGCAGGAGTCATAGGGCCAAGATGGGGTACGGAGTCTGCAGGACCATGGTTCCCTCAAGGCCTGGAGTCACACAAGGGCAGCATGGGGTGGGGGTGGGGGTGCAGGCTGAGCATCTATGAATTGGAAAACCTCAGTTTGCCATCCCCGAGGGCAGGCAGGAGACTGGCAAGTCCCTCCCATCAGCACAACAACGTGTCTGCCCACGACTTTTAAGCCACACCCCCCACCCCACCCCACCCCACCCCACCCCCAGTGAACAAAAGCCAGGAGGGCAGAGGACTGGCTCCCATCGACAGTGGGGAAACAGGCCAAGGTCAGAAAGCTGGGCCCTGCACACCTTCCTGGTGGCTACTTCTTCAACATGTCCCAGGGGCCCCATAGCTGGGAGGCCCTCCGGGGGCTAGGCCAGTGAGGTGGCGCTGGCAGGGAGAGGTGTGCCTCCTTCTCAGTGGAAGTCTCCCCAGCGTGGCTCATCCACTGAGGGTGCATCTTGGGTAGAAAGGGGCTTGGAAGGTGCCCTCTGCTTGCATCCCTTTGGGGCAGAGGGCCGAGCAGAAAGCCTGGAGGGCAGAGGAGGCAGGGCACAGCACCACACACCAGGGCTAGAAATGGTCCACCAGCAAGGCCCTGGGGGAGCAGGAGGCTGCCCCCCCCAACCAGAGCTGGGTGCTTCAAGACCTTCAGCCCACCCCACTCCCATCCCTACCACCCCTTGAACAAGTCTTTCCTATTGATTTCTGCAGAGCCGTGGTCTCCCTGAGGATGATGGGAATTGGGTCAGATTTAGAAAGAACCTTAATATGAGGGATTCCAGGAGGCAAGGGGATGTGGTGGGG